GAGGGCCTCTGAAAGACTCTACCCAGCAGGGTATTAAAGCAGATGCTGAGACTCATATCTAAACTTTGGGCAGTGTGCAGGGAATCTTATGAAAGAAGGGGGAGAGAGAAAGACCTGGGAGAGTCTGGAGCTCCACAAGAAAAACAACAGAACCAAAAAATCTGGGCCTAGGGGTCTTTTCTGGGACTGATACTCCAACTAAGGACCATTCATGGAGATAACCTCGACCCCCTGAACAGAAGTAGCCCCACGGCAACTCGAGTCTCTAAATGGGCTTCCTAATAAGGGAAGCAGGGACTGTCTCTGCTATGAGCTCAGTGGCTGGCTCTTTGATCTCCTCCCCAAGTGGGGAGCAACCTGACCAGGCCACAGAGGAAGACTATGAAAGACAGTCTGATAAGCCCTGATAGGCTAGGGTCAGATGGAAGGGGAGGAGGTCCTCCACTATAAGTGGACTGGGGAAGGGGCATGGGAGATGAGGGAAGGAGGAAGGGCAGAATTGTAAGGGAAGGAGGGAGGGGACTACAGCTGGGATACAAAGTGAATAAATTGTAATAAATAAAAATTTAACAAATAAATTAAATAAAGAATAGGTAAATGTTCTAGGAGATAAAGATATCTAAAGATACAACTTGTTAAGTGCTCAATAGACTATGAATCCACTTCTACACTTTCTACTGAATCTTTCAGACAGACATCAAAATGAACAGAATGCAGTGCAATTTTGACATGAAAGGCTGAATTTAATTTGAAAATGAAAACACAATCTACTGTTTTACAAGCTTTGAGTGAAAAGGAAAGGAAACACTCCAGGAATTATTATGAAGCACTGATTCTCAAAGTGTGGAGATGGGGAAGCTCAAATATAATGACATATAAGTGTATAACTGTATTTCTGCATCTCTGGGACTTGAAATAAAGTGGCATGTTAGGCTTGAAAAATGTTGAGTGAATACATTTTCTTCATTACCACAGAGAGCAAAGATGGTATACTGACCTCAAGAGGTTCTCTCTCTTCCCTCCTACTGAAATAGAACAAGACTAAAGAAAAAAGGGCTAAGAAAATTAACACGTCACCCTAGATCAATCTCAAAATATCATAAGTAAAATAGTTCCAAAAGATTGCATATGGTATGACACTATTTACAATATTGCAGAAGACAAACTATCTAATTACTGGTTTCCAGGAAAAAGGGTACAATGAAGAAATGTTTCACAAGAGTTTATTGGGCATGGTAGACCTATTTGTTATCCTATCTTGGTGTTAAAACTCACACCCCAAGTATACAAAAGCAGGAAAAAAGTAATGTTTACCATAAAATTTTTTAAGATGATTAAGCTCCAAATGGATGACAGGGAGATAAGCAATTTCAATAAATGTGTAAAAACAGCCAAATGTAGTGTAATTAAAGTTGACAGAGGAAGCTATAATCTCAAGAAGCTGTAGGATGGAATCACTATGAGACATGCCTACTGATCCACATACCCTAGGAAGAATAGACATGGAGCAAAGGTTACAGCAAAGGATAGACTCCGGGATAGGCCTGAAAATGGTTGAGGTAAAAAATGTAGAAGTCAAAAAGGTCAGTTCTATAAGACATTATTCTTCTATACCAAACTGTACACGGTCAAAAGCCAGGCCTGAGGAGCTCACAAGCTCTAGCAGTGACCTACTACTACTGTTCTGCTAAAGGGACAGAATATCCACAGATTAGTGCCAGAAAAGTGTCTTCACACAGTGGGTGGTGATTAACAGAAACTCACAACTGAACAATATGGAGAATAAATGTCAATAGAACGTTCAAGCAAATATAGGACATCTACATCACGCCTGACAAGACTTGGGGACATCATAGAAGTCAGGGTGGAAATACTGGAAAAGCCAGAGACTAAGAACAGGGACAAAATGCACAAGTGCTATGTGCATGTACAGGCGTGTGCACACGCGCAGACACACACAAAGCACTAACACAGAGACTGTTCACCAAAAAGCAGGCTGCTTAGGAACAACAGAAATAAAAGTAGTCTTAGAAATTAATTTTCCTAAACGCATATTATTAATTCAACAGAAGGAAGATGGTACTGAAAGGTCAAATTGAATTCTGTAGAGGAGAAATGACTGCACCACCACAGCGAATGCACAGAAGGCAACTACACAGCAAAATTAGAGGGACGGCATCTAAGACACATTCACCAAAAGCAGGAGGGGAAAGAAAATTGCCTTCAACCTGAAATTCTAGGTAAGGTCAAACTATTAGTGAAATATGGAGGTAAAAATAAGATTTATATGTCATTTCTTTTTAATTAAAAAATGTTTATTTATTTCGTGTGTTTATGTGTTAAGTCTCTGGAGATGAAAAGAAACTTGTATGGTGGATTACTCTTTTTCATCATAATGTATTGAGAATAATTATTTGACTTTGAAAACTGTACATACCATATATGTATGTGTGTATATATATTTTATATATATAATTATATATATTATATACATAATATAATATGTGTGCAAATAAGGTCACCATCATTTCATTTGGTTTTAGACAATAAATTTATTTTAAAATTTCAAATGACATTAGGAAAAATGTGCTTTTCACACTTACTGACTGATGGGTGCACAGGCTAAAATGGGCTTTAAAATACTTTATTAAATCATTCAATCTACAATAGGCATTTATACATCAAAACTTTGTAACAGCAGCACTTTTATTTACCTCCTTCACACTTAAAACTACTATGTTTATAAAGGACAAAACTTTGCAACTTAAAGAGCATGTAATAACCCTCAGGCAACGTTTGCATAAAGACAGGCTGAACAGTGTTTCCCAGCCCTACCTCTCTCACCTGCTCCTCCTTTACATTAGGGTTTTCACTTAGTGCCTGCTTGGCTTCGCGCTATCACCATCTATTCCCCTGGATAGAATACCAGCCTTTGTCAGTCCCCCTAGAGCTGTAAGTCTCACCACTTCCTGGTAAGAACAAATACTCCTCAGTAAAAAATAAGTCTCGTGATCATGTTGTCAGTGAATAATAAATATAAACATTATAATTTAATAGTTGATGGTACTTTACCAAATGCACACGTGGTCAAGTTAAAGCCTGGACTCACTAAGCCTGGGTTAAAACTGAATACTATACATTACCAAGAAAAAAGAAGCATTGTTATTTTAGTAACACAATTAAACAGCACAATTAATTTTGTTCACTTTTATTAATACAAAACATCCTAACAGAATGTTAACTTTTAATATAAGTAAGGTTACAAATAAACTTTGTCACTATCCAATAAATAACATTCCCTTGACTATTAATTGGATTATTCTCTATTAGAACAGTTATTTTCTCCAGTTTATTTTAAACTGCTGTATGATTTCAATGAAACATCTTAGCTTTTGCTTACTGAATAATTTTTACAGTTGGAAAATTTCTCATGCCAAAATATTTGCAAATTAATATATTTCTCTGCGCCTTCTACTTAGTCGCCTTAATGACATTAAATTTTCTGAAATATAAATGTCCTATATTCTTCACATACACAATAGGAGTTGATTTCAAATGCCAGGAACCGAGAACACAGACAGAGAATCAATGCACTCATAAAACAGATCAAGCTTCAATTGTACTTTTAAAGATTCCATCTTCTCCAAGGTGTGAAAACGTTAAACCTTCTCAGTTTTCCTTCCTTCCCATGGTCCCCAGTTAGAGAAAGAGATGCAGGCTAGTAGTCCTCTTTCAACAGCATTTACTCTGGGAAGACTGGCAGAAACATCCTGCGACTTATGAGGAATTCCCCAAATAAACCAAACATCATGTGCATGAGGGACACTTTACAGAACAACAGCATTCTGAACACTGACACAAGAATAGTTTAGAGAAAGAACTTTCATCTGAGAAATTTTCATATAGCCATAAATCAAGTAACCCAAGAAAGTAATATTTTTATAAGGTAAAAGGATCCATGAATTACAAGCTCTTTAACAGAATTTCATGTCATACAAATTGTGTGGCACATTTCTACTATGAACCAATGAATTTTTTTCGTTCTTTTAAGCACATAGTAATCTAAACTAATACATTACCCAGACCATTTGATTTAAAATAAAACCAAAGGAAATCATTAAAAAGTCTGATTACACAAGCATTCTACTACATAAATATGAGTTACTTCAGTGTAAAAACAAGTAATTTCAATGCAATGAAGTCAACTCTGATTAATACATACATTTTCATGCATGTGAAAAAATAATTTACATTCACTCAGGAATAAGTTTCATAGCAAACAAATTACAGCACTTATTCAATAAAGGAATATTAAAATAATTCTAGTTAGAAAATAAAGTAACTTCAACCAGATATATTATCTTTTTCATCATGTACATACTCCAAAACCCCCAAAATTTAATTAGGAAATGTATAGAACATCTTTTTAAGGTATATCTTAGGAAAACTAAAACATTACCTTCAATATTAAAGAGAATGTTTATACATATCCACATTTGACCTGTATGCAAAAATTTAATGAAATATAGAAGAAATTAGGATTTCAAAATTTTCTGGGATATTAGTACTAAGTCAAAACACTTACCTGCTAAAAAGAACAGCTTGAGGTATTTCCAAGGCAGAAGCAATCATCTTAACCCTACACATAATAGTGAAAGCAATCTCCATTGAACGTTTACATCTGGGTTACAGCTGAGACAGAGGCTAAGGATTTGCCAAGCAGCTGTTCCATCTCACCTATATTCTTTCTTCCCTTTGAAGTGTAAGCTTTCAGGGAAATGATCATATATAAGCATTTCAAGTAGCTTGGGACCCCAGAATGCAATATTGTATCCAAATAAAAACAAGTTTAAAATTCTACCCAAGACCCACCTGACCTCTTTAGATATTAATTTCTATGCTGGACAAGCTAAGATCTGAAATCTAAGAACTGCCATAGAGACACTGAACATAAGAACCACCTCAACAAAGAGGGACTTTAAGCCTTTACACACGACACATGAAAATGATCAAGTGTTTTATTTATATTAGTCTTTCTTCAATCTGAACTGTAACCAAATTTTGAAAGGTTAGCAAGTCATTACACTCACACATCTCATAATCCCTTTCTTCACACAGTAGGCACACATATACAGCATCATGTCAATATAACGTTATCAACACGGCATGAACAGTTTAAGCAGTAGACGCATTTCACATGAAAGAGGCTCTATGCATCACATGGCCTGTCCCAATAAAAAGCAGACATTAGAATGCCATTTTAGCAGGTACAATATTGATATGATCAATATAGCTAATTTTTATACCCGTCATATAGTTTCATAAGTCATCCATATGTAAGAAGCAAAGAACAAAGGCTGTTTTTGTTTTGTTTTTTTTTTAAAGTTATGTGCCAACTTCAAAATGACATACTAACCAGATATCAGCATTCAAAAGCTAGGTTGAACAGGGCTGGCCTTGACGCACATGCAGTAGATTTGTTTTCAGAATAGAAAATTAAATGGTGATGTCAGCAGTATTACTACTGTTTCTATATTTATGATTAATTACTAGCAATACAACTCCCAGAAGAAAGGAGATGGATCCAATGGTGATGTAAGCAATTCCCAAAAATGGATTTTTTCCTCCCATCCATGAAATAGTGCTCAAGATCATCCGTTTTCGTCCATCAAAAGAATGTACAGGATAATCTGACAAGGGTATAGGAAGACTTTTTACTCGATGTTTAATACACAAGTTTTAAAGTTAACATTTAATTTAGTTACTTATAATTCCTTTATATATAATCCTGATACATGGGTACCTTGCTTATATATTTCTGAGCCATAATAGGTGGGTAGGTAGGGAGAGAGAGAGAGATATGAACAAATAAAGCTACATTTTGTTGTTGTTTTGAGACAGGGTCTCACTATGTAGCTCTGGATGTCCTGGAACTAATGATGTAGACAAAGCTAGCCCTGAAGTCACAAAAGATCAGTCTACCTCTTCCTCTCCAGTGCTGAGATTAAAGACAGATGTCATTATGTACTGCAAATAAAACTATCTTTAAAAACTAATTTAAAAAAATTTTCTTCTCTAAGTAGTAGTAGACACTAAACACAGAGCACGGCACTCTATCCCTGATAAATTACTCCTAGACCTGATAGAGTGAAATAATGTTACTAGTAAAACCCAAAGTATTACCAAAACAATAAAATTCAGTTCTATATAGTATGTTGGGTAGTTTTACTCTTATTACCTAAGAAGGCTTCAAAGTAACGTAATATGGAAATATACCTCAGATAATCAGCCAGCAATGACGCCCCTACACCATGCTGACAGACAAGAAACAAGCAGAAAAGAGCCAGAAGTCTTAAGTTCTAAGAGAATGACTGAGCACGTAGCTATGTCAGGATCAAACAAATGAGATTTATCCTAAGTACTGCCATTTTTTTTTTTTTTTCAAACTCCGTTTTGGTGAAATTAAGTTCAAGTTCCCAGGTTCTAGAGGAGCTTTCCAGATGGCTAGCCAATTTCTTCCTTATTCTTCTCTGTTCCCCAAAACATAGTGATTGTTCCTAACCATGAAAGAACAAATGATTCTGGCTGATGAAAAATTCTGACTGTAACTTGGCACAGATGCTTGTGGTTTTGGAACTTAAAAACCCTGCACCATTCTGGCTCAAGGTGGCAGCTCAGCTCCCGAGTCTGTTCTGCAGCCCTGATCAAATCAGGAGCAACCTGAGTACAATCAAGTATTGTCATCTGCTTAAATACTTACTAAGATGAACGTTCAAAGATACAGTCAGCTCTGAAGTCTGTGATGTTGTCCCTGACTGGTCAGTTTTTACTGCCTAATTCAGTTAAACTCTTGCTTTTCAGGGCTCTTGTGACTGCTTGAGCTGTTTTGGATTTTTGGATCCCAATAGCTATAGGGCAGAGAGTACTCTAGGTAGAGGATCACAAAGCCCAAGATTTAGCTGGCTCATTTGGAGCAATTAACAAAACTCACACTCGCAAAGATTTAATAGCTCAGACATTGCAAAATTCAAAACTGACTGGCAAGGAGATACAAGAGAGGAGACAGCAGCATGTTGGAGGAACTATTTGCATAGCCCATTCTAGGATGCTGGCAAGAGTAGACAAGACAAAACTAAAACTAAAATCTGAACTGAAACTCCTAAAAAAGGCCAGTGTGGAGGGTGTGGCCAGCTCTGCTCTCTTACTGAAATCAAACTTAACCTGAGGCAAGAATCCATGCTACTTAATCCAACTCTCCAAGGACCAGACACAGTATCAAATCAACTATGTTCCTCCTCTCTCCTCTGCCTCTAAAAAACATGGCTTCTTTTAAACTACAACTCTGTTCTTCATTTCCTTATCTTGCTCTTTTAGAGCTAACTCCTGATGTTTTGCAAGCCCCCAAGTTCCTTATTGTTGAACTGTCAGTTTTTTAGATACCCTGCATTCTTCCTGAAAGTACTTCAGTCCCTGGGACCCTGCTGTAGACTTCCCTGCACTGAAAACTGTCTGCCATTTATGAAGTTCTCAGGGCTCCAGACTTCCTGCTCCCACGTTCTATATTAGGCTACATACTGGCATGTGTTATTCTTTTTTCTGGATCTTTTAAGATACTAACTATGAGTACTGCTTTATATTCTGCCTATCCTCTTAAAATAACTGCTCTTTACAGCAGCACCTAAATCAAGCCTATGTATCCAAAACTGCTCCTAAACAGGCATAGTTTCAAAGCCATTGTTTTCAGTTAGCCATATACAGTGGTATAACCAAGAGTTTAAAAACCAAAAGTAATCTTTATTTTGAAAAGTGGCCTATTAACCGTTGGCTAATTTATTATACAACTCAAACTAGAAAAAAACAACCAACCAAAAACTTAGGCTAGGCATGGTGGTGTACACTTTTAAATCCAGCTCTCCTGAGGCAGAAACAAAAGAATTTGTGAGCTGGAGGCCCATCTATTCTACATAGATATAGAGAACTCCAGGCCATCCAGGGATACATAATGATATCCAGTCTCAAACAAAGAATATACTTATGGCTTATTTGGATAATAAAAAGTGCAAAGATCTAACATATCTTAAAATGCTAATACTTGGGAATCTTTATGTTCACAGTGTATATATAAATGATGGGCAAAATACTTCTGCACTGAACTTTGTTAAGGGATAAAAAAAAACTGCCCAGTATTTCCTTCTTGTAAAAGAAACAGAGAGATGGCCCAGTGGGTAAAGACACTTGCTGCGCAAGCCTAACGACCTGGAATCAATTCCTGGTTCAATTCCTGGAATCCATATAAAAAACTGACAGGAGAAAAATCAACTTCACTACGTTGTCCTCTTACTACTACACATGTACCTTGGCACACGTGCATACATCATACATGAATACACAGTAATAAAGATCTTTGAAATTAAAAGAAATAAGGCTTGATATATATGCAGAAATGGAAGTGTAAGGGCCTATGTTCAATTTCCAGTACCACAAAATAAATAAATCTAGAGCACAAAATAACATGCAACATAACTGACATAAAGCAATGAAACTCTTCTCAAACTTATGTGCACACAAACCGAAAGATAAAAGGATACTGTATGTGATGTTCAAATAGTACTGTCCAGCTGGCAATGTTGGATGTAAGTCATCTGTCCGCTCTATAAGGCGATACAACTTACGAAACGTAGGTAATGCTGCAGTACGCATCCAAACAATAAAGTCCTCATTTATGAATCCATTATTATTTTGATCATCAGGGTCTAGCTGATATACTGGTTTATGCCAGTTTACTGGCTTTGTTGTATCTTAATGATATGTTGGGGAAGAAGAGAGATGGGAAAACAAAATATTCAATTTTATAAAGTTTCAATGAAAATTCATAGTACTAAAAAGAAAAAGCACAAAATAATTTAAATATTTTCTTATTTTTAAAGGTACAAATATATCCACATCCTAAGGATATCTTAAAAATCGAAACAGAAACCAAATCAATCCATAACAAAAATTAAAATAGAGTTGATATCTCAAGAAAATACAAAAAAGATACTAAGAAAAAGGCAGATCACTTAATACAAAAATACAGCATTAAGGAATATATGAGGCAGTGAGATGGCTCAGCAGGCCATCAAGCCTGAGGACCCGAGTTCAATGCCTCGAACCCACATAGTAACAGGAAAGAACAAATTCCTACAAGTTGTTTTCAGACTTCTACACATACACTATGGCACATGCATATATACACACATATGCTCATATACACGGACATACAAAATGAACAAATATGTAAAAGCATAAATAAATGTAAAAATACATTTTAAAAAGAAATATTGCATAATGAAACTAAGGCTTAAAACAAAAATATATGTGGATTATAATAGGGGCTTGTTAAATTTGCAGTTTGTAAGGATTACAGCTGAAGACATCAGAAAAATTCAAATCACAAAAGAACACATCTTTGTTATAATTATAGTACATCTGAACATTTACATAACTTGGTATAATGTTGAGAAAGAAGGCTGTTCTTAAAAAAAAATTAAGACTCTAAAGACAAAATTTAGATTACCTTACTAAAACTACTAGCTTTTAGATAAAAGGAATACTGGTCATGTTTTACCTTTAAATTTTTCTTCAAGACTTTCTTTTCCAGGTGGGTTTCTGAACTTCACATTTTTATCTGTCCACCAAGCAATCCCTTTTTTCTTCAACTTTATTCGTGTAGGTGTGGGGTCAGATTCATTGGCCACCAGGAACAATTCTAATGTATCTAAGCACAAGAATGGAAGATATCACCAATATCCACTCAAAATCCACAGGATCAGATTTACTCTATGAGAAATGAGAATCTGGAATTTGCTCCAAAAGTGGTTGACAGATAAAGCACAGGGTTAACAGGTATCCTTTACTCAGATGTGAATTAACTTTTGCAACTTTAGAATTCTAGATGGATAGACAGACTTTGCTTCATTTACTACAGGTCTAGGTCACTTTCCTGAATTACTAGCTGACATGTAAGAAGACCAAGAATTTCAATATTAATCTAAATAAAACTGCAGTGGTATCTTTCTTCTTTTCTCTTTATTTGGCTACTGCTACATTCGTAATATCCCCTGCCTTATCCATTTTCCTGCACTTGGTAACCACACATAGTATTCAGCTCTTAAAACATGGTTAGTACAATGAACTAGTCCTATTGAATGTATAATACACATCAGAAATCAAGGGCTTGTTGTAAAAACACAAAATATTTCATAATGCTCATATTCTTAAACGATACTGTTTTGGCAGACTAGATTAAATAAATTATTCTAGTTAATTTTACTTGTTTCCTTTGAAGGTTTTTAAATATAAATACTAGAAAATTTGAAGTAGTTTGTATTTTTGGTTCAAACTATTTTTATCAGACAGTGCATATCTAAAGATCAACTCTAACTCCCCCTTAATGGTATAAATCAGTGAAAGTGGCTCTGTGATTTTATGGAAATTGGAAGTTTCTATCTTTTCAGAGACAGAAATCTATTTTCATAAAAGAATTCTCAAAGGGAAGCCACAGAGCATCAAAATCCCATTCATTATCTGAGTATGTATCTTGAAGGTGAATTTCATATTCCATTTACGTTACTAGATTATTACAGTTCCCTAATCATCTATCATGGTAGATGTTATATCTAGCATACCATTAAACATGCTGTTGGCAATCGCTCCACACGGAGCAATTGGCTTGTCTTCATTTCTTCGATAAGGTTCACACTCCTTACTTGGATTCTAGTTTTCAGAAGGAAAAAAAGAGAGAAATTATCATCTAGCTCTGGAAAAATGATGAGCCACTCCTAATTACTAATTAAAAATTCAAGCCTTGTATTTTCCCCACTCATAAAGATACAAGTCTGTAAAGAAAACAAGCTCTAAACTAATACCACATTTAAGTACTGTAAATATCTTTACTACTATTGTACTTTTTAAATGTTTGTTCACCTGTACATAGCTATAAATGACTTATCAAATTAATATTTTGACTTCATATCAACATAGAGACCACAACCACAAAGATTGCCGACAGACAAAAATTAAATGCCCTGTTATCAATCCAGCTGTGATACACATTAAAGGGCACCTGAGAACAAAGACAGCAGTCTAGCTTCTTGGAGAAGGCCCTCAATAAACTTGTCCTCACTAATAACATGAATACATCTAACACCAAATTTTGTAATAAGGGGTTTAATCTCATGTTTTAAAAAAAAGAAAGGGAAAATCTAAAGCAGACTATACCAATCTTTAAACTGTGCAGAATGCTGACAAAGCAGAGCATGTACCTGCCTTCAGGCTTAGTCGAGAATCATGACTTAGTAAGGATCTTAAGGGCAGGAAACAGTTGAAGGCTGTATCTGAAAAGTATGCCTTAGCACTTTTGAAACATTCAGGAAGGCCACCGGAATCTATTTTTTAAACTAACAAATCGAGGTAATCTGAATTTGAAAATTACTTTATATATGTTAATATACATACGTACCACAACACACACATAAACCCTAGTTAACCTCTTGGGCTGTTCTACTGCTGACTGCCTTTGGCTTGTATTTGCACTCTGTGTTTATACTGAGAGAAGCACTCTCTGCAGAAAAAAAATATAAGGGTCTCATAATATTTCTTCAGTATTCTGAGTATTTTGAAGAAAACATTTCAGCAAAAGGGTTGGGCATATCAGTCTGGGAATCACATCTGTGTCTCACTCAGGCATCATCAGAGAAGGCTTCCTCCTGCAGTACATGGAAACTAATACAAAAACCCACAATTGGACAATATGCTGAGAGTGAGAAAACTTGGAACACTCAGCCCTGAATGGGACTCTATCAAATCCCTCCCCTCAGCTCAGGGAACTACGGGAAAGAAGAGGCATACACATTTTAAGAGCCAGTGGTGATGGAAGACACAAAATAAACAGTGCCTTCTAGACAGACAGAACAGGTATACAAATGAACTCACAGAAATTGTGGCAGCATATGCACATTCAAGCCTGATGGGGTACTAATGTTGAGAGGGAAAGCTGGCACAGCCCCAGAAACTATCTCCAACTGTCAACTGCTCCTAAAGAAAAATTAGTTTTCTCCAATGGAGCCTCAGCTGGCATATAAACCACATGAAAGAAAAAGAAAAGAAGAAAAGAAGAAAAGAAGGAAGGAAGGAAGGAAGGAAGGAAGGAAGGAAGGAAGGAAGGAAGGAAGGAAGGAAGGAAGGAGAGATAGAAAGAGAAAGAAAGAGAAAGGAAAGTAAGAAAGAGAAAGAGAAAAAGAAAGAGAGGTGCTTGTTACAAATAGCCTACAGTTCTAACCCTGCAAAAAGGCACAGTAAACCTAGGAGTTCTGGAAGCTTTGAATTTTTGTTGCTTAATCTTCCCACAAGTTTTAAAATGAACAGTTACTCAATTTCAAGGCATACTCCCAGAAATTAGAAACAGTTTATCTGCATATCCCTACTTAACCTAGTGCAAGAATAATGAATAGATCCAAAAAGAATACACTTACATATCCAGAATGCTAGACTCATCACAGAGAGATGAAGCCAAAACTCCCAATGACTACTAGTAACAAGCAGGAAATAGTGGGATTGAGAAGTCATTTGTGGGCAGTCCAGAAAAACATTTTAATTAAAAACTTCCATTAAAACTAGAAATGACAAGTTAACACTTTAATTTACCATGAGATTATTAAGTACTTTAACATTTCTAAATTAATACTTACTAAATAATATTTACTGTTTCATAGAGTCCACATTTCTGTATTTCATCATTTTACTTACAAGCAAAGCACTAGGGTCTCCATTTAACTGGCTATCATCTCGAGATTTCACATAACGACGATGATTTTGATAGAAATTAGACAGTCCATAATACATAAACACATTGCCCTAGAGAAAACAGAAAGGGTAAACAACATAAAAATTAATATTTTGTTTCATATATATATATATATATATATATATATATGCATGCAATTTCACCTTACTGGTTTACAATCTGTGATAAACAAGTGTACTGGGGTGAAGTAACAACTAAAATTGTACAATTAACTATAAACACACTCACAGTCGAGCTCCTGAATTCTTAGGTAAGTTTTAGAACAAGGGGGCAACATTAGTACGTATGACTAAGGACTGAACTAAGCAGTCCTGGGTACACTGGATTAACTGGCTTAGCAAAGCTATCTACCAAGTACTTAGTAAGCACTGGACTAGAGCTCAACGACAGTGTTTGCCTGGCATGTGCATGCATGAGGTGCTGAATTCAATCTCCAACACCACAGAAAGTAATAAGCAAGCAAACAAACAAAAACGGTAAATAAAATTAGAGAAGTTCTACTGTAAAAACGCAGAAGCAAACTTTTAAACTGTCCTTCAAATACGAAGTGCAGTGGGGAGAGATGGCTCACTCAGTAAGCACTTACTGTATAAGCCTGAGGGCCTCAGTGTGGATCCCAGCCCCTACACACAAGTCAAGCACGGCAACATTCATCTATAACCCAAGAGACGGAGGGTGGCAGGGATGGGGACAGGCAGATCCCCGGAGCTTGCTGGCTAGCCAGTTCAGCTTAAATGACAAGCTCCAGGTCCAGGGAGAAAACAGTCTCATGAAATAAAGTAGCAAGGGAAGCATGCACAACTCATACTGCACACCACACACATGCGCATACAGACACACAACACACACAAACTACTACTTTCATTTAAAAAATAATTTGAAAAAAGAATGTTGTTGGTTTTTTGTTTTGTTTTGGGTGTTGTGTGTGTATGTATGTATGTGTTTTGTCTATTTGTTTGTCTTTGTTTATTTCCAATACAGGGTTTCTCTGTGTAGCCTTGGCTATCTTGGAACTTGCTCAGAGAACCAGCCTGGCCTCAAGCTCACAGAGATCTGCCTGCCTCTGCCTCCTGGAATTAAAGGTGTGCACCACCACCACCTGGCTCTTCAAGAATGTTTTTAAGCTCAATTTTCAGGTAGAGGGCAGAACAAATTGGCCTCCATCCATGCCAATTCTGAAATTTTATGCCCTTTCCCATATGCTCAGTTACCAAAAGTAGAGAGCAGCATTAATACCACTCACAAGCATGTACACACACACAAACATACAAACATGCGTGTACACACATGGAAGGAGGTTCGAAATACCAAACTATGTCAATAGAGTATTTTTTAAATAAAGTCTTAATAAGTGTTTGATTTTTGGGTACTATTTTACATCTCACAAAATAATTCAATTAAGTAATGAAATGATTAAGTGTTGTCTGTAGTAAGACTTGTTTTAGAATTTAAAAAGTTATTTTTAAAATTAAAAATAATTTTAAAAGGCTAAGGACTTATACCATCTTAAAAGGAATCAAGGTATCAATATATAACTTTAAAATACAAGCACAAGAACTTATAACTTGATGAAAAAAATTGATTTCTGCCATTAAAAATGACTAGTGAATAGCAAAATGCCTTAAATTCTGTCTACAAAATACTAAAATGCAAAGAATTCAAGTAAACACCTTTAATTATGCAACAATCAAATATATAGAACAATCTTCAAATGTCTACAGATCCCAATAAAGTAAGCTATTTTTGATATAAATTATAAAAAAATATTATTTTTTAAAGCATGCCTTTTCTAGCACATTACTTTGAAAACAGACCTCAAATGACTCTTCCAGTGTGAAGTTAATGGTACAAACACAAGATGTCACATTGGGAGACAAACATTTATTGCAGGGACTAGAAGGTTCTGTTCCAGTGTAATCAATCTGCAAGAGAAAAATGATTAAGCAAGCAGTTTGTTGGTAAAAAGAGAAACCTAAAACTTATATAACCAGCTAAAACCTATATAACCAGAAAAATAAGTCCAACAAAGCAATGTGGGCAAAACCTGTTGTTGTGTTCTTTAACCATGTGAGGCACTAAATAGTAAAGAAGTTTCTGTTTGTTCAATGTTATCACCTAAAGAACTATATTTTTCACCCAAAGAAATATACTTACGGATAAAATTGTAAATATAAGATTCAACACAGCATTATGCATAAAAGATGTAAATGTCTGTAAGGTCTAAACTAAAATGCCAGATTCTGAGAGATCAACACAGCTTTTCTTCTTAAATATACAACTTTAAATATTTTTGTAGTCACTTCCATTTTCCAGGGAACATTTCCAAATTCAGAAAACAGAAAGAGGGGAATGAAGGTAGTATGGGCTCAGAAAGTAACTCATGGTAGACTGCTTGCCTTACATGCATGAGGCCCTGTCCTTGATGATTCCCAGAACCATCAGAAATCACAAAAGCACACCCAAAAACCTGGTGCAGAGTCTGTCATTACTTTGGGCTTGGTTCCTGGTGTTTCAGCAGGGGAATATCTCGGGCGAGTAGAATATCTATTACTCAGGTGTGCCCCTTGATTCACACCAATTTATAAGAAAACAAGAAGATTCAAGGTAGACACTGGTTCCAGAAAGACCAATCCTTTGATCAGAGGCTTTGGTCCAGCAGAGAGAAGTAGGGCTGAAAACTTAAAATTAAACTATGTGGGCAATGTTCAACCAGTCATGCCTAACGGTGCAAGTCCTGTACTTCAGTCTAGCTACTGCTGTACAGGGGAACTTTCTGGTTGGTAAGGCATATATATGCTAGGAACTCGATGTCCCCTGACATAGGGAGAAGGCATGGAAACTATGTTCAGACTCCACCCTTTGTGTTTCTTCCAAAAACCTTCCTCTTCCCACAGCATGCATCTGAAATGAGGACAATCTTGTGAGAGGCAGGGAGAAGGGATCTTGGAAGGACCATGACTTTGAGCAAGAAGTGTGTTTAGCCTAGGGAACTAACTTATATCTAGAGTAAGGCCAGTTATTAAGGACTATGCTTTGAACTTGCAGCATCTGATGTTAACTCTGTCAGAACTGAATTGTACAATACCAGGTAAAGTCAGAAGGAACCCCAAACTCATTTTTTTCCATTATAAGTTTAAAAAAAAAAGAAACAAAACTTTAACTTTAGCAGAGTTCTCATACAGCTTCGTCTGCTTGAATAGAAGTGTCCCCTCAAAAGTGCCCATGTGCTGAGACATTGCTTCTAGCTAGTGGTGCTATTTTTGTAACATTCTGGAAACTCAAAAGTAGGACTGGATAAAAGCAAGTTGCTGGAGAATATGGTCTTATCCCTGCCCAACTCCTCTCACTACTTCCTGCTCATCACATAAGTACCCTGTGCTACATGTTCCTGCTACCATGACACTGTCTCGTTTCAGATACAGAAACAAAGCAAGCTATGAGCTGAATGTCTGAAACTGCAAACCTACATGAATTTTTCCTTCCTTGAGTTGTTTTGGTCAGGTATCTATCTACTCTACAATCGACATTTCTCCCCAAGTGGACTATTACAACTATAAATGAACACTGACATTATCATCACCTAGTTTATAGTTTAAGGTTCACTCTTGGTTGAAAATTCTATAGGTTTAAACAGCATATAATGCTACATAACCTACCATTATAATATAATGCAAAATACTTTAACTGGCCTTAAAAATCCCATCTTTCTTTTGTCTACTCATCTTCTGTATTAAATCATAGTAAGCACTGATGTTCTTTACTGTCTTCATAGTTTGTCTTTTCCAAAGTTAGAGTTATCCTATAGGTAGCCTTTTCATACTGGCTTCTTTCACTTGGTAACCTGCATTTAAGTTTCCTCCACATCTTTTCAGAGTTTGATATAACATAGCTTTTCTATTCACCTACCAGAAGACAAAACCAAACTGGTCTTGAACTCAGAAAGATCCTCTTGTCTCTGTTTCTAGAGTGCTAGATTAAAGGCATATGCTACCATGCCCAGATAATGTCTAGTGCTTACATCACGTGGTCTATGGAACTTTGATACAGCAGCCCCACCAGGTGCTTAAGGCCCTTTACATCATCCAAGGAGGTGTCTAATCAGGTCTTGCGCTCACTTTCATCACGCTGTTTCATTTTCATATTTTAAGTGTTCTTTTAGGTAACAATTATCAGATTTTCTTAAATTATTTTCTGTCCATCTATGACTTATCTTCTAAATTGCATGATAAATGAGAGTTTTATGATGAAGAGTCTTAAGAGTTTTACTGCTGTTAAAAGACACCATGAAAAAAATGAAAAAAAAAAAGGGGGGGGGTGGAGGACACCATGACCACAGCAACTCTCATAAAGGAAAACACTTAATAGAGGCTGGCTTACAGTTTCAGAGGTTTAGTCCATCATCCTCATAGCAGGAAGCATGATGGCATGCAGGCAGGATGCTGGAGAAGGAGCTGAGAGTTTTACATCTTGATCCACAGGCAGCAGGGAAAAGACTGTGCCACACTGGGCACAGCCTGAACATACATGACCTCAAAGCCTGCCTCTGCAGGGACACACCTACTTCAACAAGGCCACACCTCCTAATATGCAGTCCTTATAGCCAAGCAGTCAAACACATGAATCTACAGGCGCCATTCTTGTTCAAAACAACACAGTCCTAAACGTTAAAAATCTAAGTTATTTTTATAATTGAAAATTTTTAAATAAAAATCTGTACCTAGAAAACAGAACCACCAACGAAAAAGTGAGATAATTTTAAAGAACCCACAATGGCTTAAGAAAGCTGTTTTATCAAGTTATTACATAATGTTCTGTATAACTGTTTTCCAAATGTTCTGTACAATTATTTTCCATTTGTTAACTAGTACAACTTTAATTTCCTTTTTTATTTCACTGCAAATATCACTAAAAAGCAAGGCATGTAACTAAAACAAGAAAACTCAATGAACAAAGGAAAGCACACATGAATTTCATTAGACCTATGTGTTACAACTCCGTACCAAGGCCTCCATAACCAATGTTTGTACACATCATTCCACTTAACATACCCAATTTATGTCAGAATAAATCACAAAGAAAACTGCATTTTTAACATCACGCTTTCTTCCTCTCAAGACTGATCTAAGAAACAAAAATAGAAACCTCTCAAATCATCCTCTTTAATTTGATCACCATTTGCTATTAAGCAAAGAGATGTTACTTAACTAAACAAAAATAATTTGATGGAACTGGAAATCAAATTATAGTTTAGTATAATAAAACCCAATATTAGAATAATTACTAAATATCAAATAATACTTAAAACAGATAGCTGTAATATATTCATTATGAACTGTTGATTATAAATTTAAAACAACTAAAAGTTAATCTTAAATTTTTATTTGTTTGTTTATTGTGCGGTGGTGTTTGGACTCTATGTATATCTGTTGAGGGTGTCAGATCTGGAACTGGCGTTTTAGACAGTTGTGAGCTGCCATGTGGATGCTAGGGACTTGAACAAGAGTCCTTTGGAAGAGCAGCTAGTGCTCTCAATTGTAGGGAGCCTTTGATCTGGCAGCTGCTTTGATATTTAAATCTCAGCGCAAAGACTGCTTTTACCAGGCCTTCACTGAAGTTAGGGAAGAATTTGCAAGTCCATCTCCTTTTGTTTGTGATAGCTTGTCAAGATCACACCTCTTGCTTCACCTCCTTGTAAATTTAACCCATTGTTCTAAGCTGTTTTTACTCTGGCTTAAAAGCTCTCTGCAATAAAGTCAGGCTGCTGCTGGCTGGAGTCCGGAGCCTCTCGGAAAAGTCCCATGTGTGTTGTGTGTTAGTTTATTAATTTTAATCCTCACTCCCAATTCAAGAACCGTTCGATACTGCTGGAGGGCTCTGGCACATAACCACTGGGCCATCTCTCCAGCCACAAAATTCTATCTTTTAACTTCAGGGAACTCTGTAAACAATATTTTTAAAAGTTATTATAATTAACTTTTCAATTTTAATAGGGGCAAGGCACAGGTCAAAGTACAAGAACCATACAAAGTACAAATATACTGTACCATCAATAACTAACAGCTTTCATTTATACACATTTGATCTGATCCTCACCAAAATTCCTACTGCGTTACCTCCATTACATAAAAAGAACATCCTTAGAAACTTTTGCAAGTGTGAGTCTAGAATCCAAGATATCGCCAAGTGGCGCATGCCTGTGATTCCAGCACTTTGGGAGGCAAAGGCTGGAGTTTTTCAGTGAGTTCGAGGCCAGCCTGGTCTATAAAGCAAGTCCAGGACAGCCAGGACTACACAGAGAAACCCTGTCTCAAACAAACAAACCAACAACAACAAAAAATATCCAAGATAGTTGACTCAAGCCAAATGCTCCTTCTATTAAACCACCTTTACCCAGGAACTGTCTGTCAGTCTGTCTACTCTACCACAGGGCTAGATTCATTATCAAAGCCAAAAATGCAAAGGAAGCTGTCAAACTGGACAGTAGAGAGACAATCATTATCAAAGAACCAGTACTTTTTAGAAGAAATAAGAATCTGAACAAATCCAGAAAAAAGTAGAAAGAGACAGCATTGGAAAAAAGATATTCAAAGACAATAAGAATAAACAATATACATTATGGAAAATTTTCAGGATGGAAAGAAATGTACAAAGAATAATTGAACCATAATAACATACCACATTTATTAACTGCTGTTATCACGTGTGTTCTGTCAGACATAGATGCACTTAACATATTTAAAGAACAGGTGTTGTGAGAGGGGGCTACAATTGTGATATAAAATGCATAAATTGTAAAAAAAAAAAATTAAATTAAAAAATAGCAGGGGTTGAAGAAATAGATGGCTTAGCAGTAAAAAGCTCTTGCGAAGGACTCAGCTTAGTTCCAGGCCTCTACGTGGTGGGTCACAGCCACTTATAACTC